AAAATCCTACGCATGACAAAACACCCCTATCACACACACACACCTTTAGGGTGAGAAAATGACAAGACAAAACAAGACATATCAAAACACCCCTCTCTCACACCCCTACACACCCCTTAAAACACCTGCGTGCAACTATGCGTGACCACCTGTCACCTGTGTGCAACCATGCGTGACTGATTAGGGTCACCCCCACCCCAAAGTGAGCCAGCTCCCGAATTAATCTACTACTGTGCGTTGGCCAAATCAAGCTCCCACCTGGATTACCTTTAATTCAAAATACGCGTCTGGGTTGGGTTGTTTCTGGAGGTTATGGCCTTTCTAATGGCTCGTCCTAAATGTCGTCCCAAGATGTACTTCTCGCTAGTAAAGAGAAAAGTTTCGATCGGTTAGATGATCTTCTTCGACGATTTTAACGCCGAGCCAATTAAACGCGCTACTATGGAAGAATTGGACTGTGAAGCACATTTCGTAAGACACGTCGTTCGTTTGCCAGCTGGTGATTATTCTGTTCGGCTGCCTGCCAAGTTCAATCTAGATCTTTTGGGAGAATCCCACCAGCAAGCTTATCGAAGAATCTTGTCCCTAGAGAGAAAGTTGAATCGTCAGCCAGCCTTGAAGGCTCAATATGCAGCATTCATAAAAGAATACCACGATCTAGGACATATGTCATCAGTTTCTACCGCTGACATCGGGTTGTGCCGATACTTCTTGCATCATAATTGCGTCATAAAGGAAGATAGCTCCACTACAAAGCTTCGCGTAGTTTTTGATAGATCGGCGGCCAGTTCCTCAGCCTATTCTCTCAACGATGTTCTTATGGCAGGCCCTGTTACTCAGCCTAAGCTGGTCAAAATTCTTCTTCGGTTTCGTTCACACCCAATCAGGAGACATTTGCAAAATGTACCGTTGTGTAAGGGTTGAGCCTGAGGACAGCCATTTGCAATGCATTTTGTGGAGGGATTCCACCCAGGACCAATTGCGGGTGTTTAAGCTAGACATCGTTTCTTATGGCGCGAAGCCAGCATCATTTCTGGCTGTGCGAGCGATGCATCAGTTGTCAGCTGACGAGCATACAGCGTTTCCGCTTGGGGCTGAGGTCATTCTTGGCGATTTTTAGGTGGATGATTTGATACCGGAGCCAAGTCCAAGGAAGAGGCAGTCATCATTATGGATCAGGCATCAAAACTTCTAGCCAAGGGAAAATTTAAGCTTAGAAAGTTGTGCTCAAATGTGTCGGCTGTTTTGGATGGAGTTGCAGACAAGGATAAGGAGTCCTATTTGAAGTTTGATGATGGCACTGATTTTGCAAAAACCTTAGGTCTCGATTGGGATCCAGTTTCTGACCACCTATTGTTTTCCTTTTCGGTCTTACAGTCAACATCAAGCCCCTGCAGACGATTTTTCCTGTCTGCAATAGCGCAATTTTACGTTTGACCTGTGATCACAAAATCGAAAATTTTTTTTCAACAACTGTGCAAAAATGAGTTATCCTGGGATAAAAGCCTTCCTGAGTCACAGAATACGGAATGGAGTGCTATATGTACGAGTTTTGGGCAGATTAGGCATGCGTCATTTCCTCGGCTTGTTCGTTCTCCAAACTCGGAGAGTGAAATTCATGGATTTTGTGATGCCAGCATAGAAGCTTATGGTGCCTGTGTCTACATCGTTTGCAACGGCCGATCTCAATTACTTTGCTCAAAGTCAAGGGTAGCCCCCTTGAAAACACTCACTGTGCCCAAGCTGGAACTGTGTGGGGCAGTCTTCTGTCTAGGCTCATCGCAGAAGTGGCTGGGACGAGTGCATTTAAGGGAATGTTTTACTGCTGGAGCGACCCTGCTGTTGCGCATTCATGGATCTGAGACGAGCCGTCCAGATTCAATATTTTTGTAGCGATCCGAGTAGCTGCCATTCAAGAGCTAACTGAGTCAGTGAAGTGGCGATATATTCCAACTTCTTTGAATCCTTTTCCTGCTGAGCTCAACGAGTCTCCTCTCTGGGCTCATGGACCTAAATTCCTCTGTGGCCCCAAAGCTGACTGGTCGACCCCAATCACTGCTGAAAAGACAACGCTTGAGGTTTGTCGGAGGATTCTACTAACCAAATCTCCATACGAAGACATAGTGGCACGTTCAAAATTTGCCAATTCCTTTGCTGCCCTTCAAAGAATTTTCGGATACGTCTATAAATTTAGTAATCGCATCCATCGCCCTACGCTCACGGTGTCTGACCTTCAAGGCGGTACTCTACTGTTGATTCGTCTTGTCCAGCGCTCACATTTATGGGATTACATCAAATCATTGCTGTTAAAGGGAATGGTGCACTCCTCCAGCTCGCTCGCATCTCTTTCGCCATTCATTGACCAATTTGGGCTTCTTAGAGTGGATGGCCGCCTAAGGAATTCTTCTCTGGATTTTAATGGGCGTCATCCAATTATATTATTACGGAGTCATTCGGTCACTATTGCCATTATTACTCACTTTCATGAACGCAATCTGCACACTGGGCCACGGGCATTACTCGGCATAATTCGATCCCAATATTGGCCTATTGGGGGGAGGAAGACGGTTATGGAGGCAGTATACAAATGTATTAGATGCTTTCGAATGAAGCCTCGGGTAGTAGGACATATCATGGCGGATCTTCCAAAGGAGCGGCTTGATGGATCTCATGCGTTCGAAGTCACTGGCATTGACTTTTGCGGGCCGTTTTTCTACAAGTCAGAGGCGCGAAGCAAGCCTCCAGTAAAATGGTACGATTGTGACTTCATTTGTTTCGCCACTAAGGCTATTCATTTGGAGTTGATCAAGGAATTCTCTACGGTAACGTTTCTACATGGCCTCAAACGATTTATATGCACTAGAAGAAGGCCGGATGTGACCAGTCTTAACTTCAATCGCTTTGATGGATGGCAACGCGTGGCTAACTTGCAGCAGATCTTTTAGTCCCGGTGGAAGGAAGAATACTTAACATTACTGCAGCAGCGCTCCAAGTGGCGTACCCCAAAACCTGGCCTGGTTGTCGATGACTTAGTTCTGGTCAAGGACGAAAACTCCCATGAAGTAGCCCCTCGCCAGAGTGATCGAGCTTCTGCTCGGTGGAGATGGGGTTGCTCGAGTTGCCGTTCTGAAGACAGTATCAGAGGTGACAAAGCGAGCAGTAAACAAGCTGTGTCTGCTTCCCCTTAAGGATGATGTTGAAACCCAGGCTTCCAACGGGGGGAGTATGTCGGGTCACGCAGCCGCAGCAGCTAATTAACGTCTTAATTCGATCTCTTATACTAATTGCATCGCGAAAGGTAGCTCTCTCTACCTAGCTCTCTCGTTTTTTGTGTACTTGCATTCTTGGGCCCAGCATTCGGCTGGCTGTCCCTTTGTAAAATCAGTACGAGTTCTGATCTCGACATTAAATTCACTCTCGTCTCGCCTGCTGTACTCTCTCTCGCTAATAAATTGCTAACAAGCATAAAGCAACCTGAAATTCGTAGGTTTTAATTTAGCAATAACTAATAAAAAAGCTTATTAGTTCAACATTAACGGCATTGTTTCGAGCGGCTTCGAGCACTAAATGATACAGTCAGAAATACTTTGAGCACCCTTAAAAATCTCAATATCAGCACAAAATCTTGTTTTATTAACAGAAGAAAACTAGACCAACAGACTCTAGCTGCACTGGAAACTTCGTAAGTGAATCCTCCAAAAGAAATGCCATTGTTAAGAAGTTTATTGAGCGGTGCGCTTGCATCCTGGAGACTATAAACGCACAGTCTACAACTACGCTCCGCCATCAGTCAGTCCACAACGCAGAAAGCTGCAAGATTTGTTACATAGGACCACATAACTTCATGGTGTGTAACCGTTTTCAGGAAATAGAACCCCAAGGGCGGCGCCAAGCTATTGTTCAAGTAGGAGCCTACACAAATTGTTTGGCTATAACTCATAGGGTGGAAAACTGTGGATCACTGGCCACGTGGCAGTTCTGCTAGCAGCAGCATCATTTACTACTACACAAAGGACCAACAATCTATCCACTATGCGGTATTGTAACCACCACAGACTACGAAAGTCCCAGAGGATATGTTCTGCTCCCGACAGCCATGATATCGTTACAGGGGCCAACCGCTCAACAACAAACATGTCGCGTTGTAATAGATTCTTGATCACAGGTGAATTTTATATTAAGGAGAATGGCAGATCTGCTATCTCTAAAGGAAATGTCGTTACCGATTGAAATATTTCGAATCGAAGGAAAAAGAACAACAGCAATTCGATCAATACTACAGCTCTCATCATGGACATCAGGTTTTGGAACACTAACAGAGGCATTTATTATTCCCACAGTCATTACAAGCCAACCGTCATTCGGATCGCCTTGACTTAGCCGTGTGATGCTCTCAAGACTTCAGCCACCTGTGTCTTAATTCGGAGAGTCCTGATGTCCCGATTCCAAACGTTTTGACATAACTATCTTGCTCCTTGTAGGATTCCCACGGCGCTGATTCCTACGACTTGACTTGATGTTCTGGACTTTTTGTTCATTTTATGCTGGTTGACTGAATCCTTGACCTTGACGGAGGGACTCTTGATGGAGTGACTGATCCAAACTTTGTTTTTCTAACTATTCATTCTTAAAACACTTATTCTCCAACTTCTCTCTCACTCTTCTCAGTAGTTCAAATCCTCGCAATGTGTCTGCCTTAAAAAATATATGGTCTGTCTTTATGTACAGATGAAAACCTTTTTCTTGGTCATCGCTTGGCGCCTTCTTGAAAACATTTTTTATTTCTTGATGATTTAAATTATTAATTTGTATTCCCGTTTCTCGAACAGTAAATGGGTATATTTGATTAGTCAGAAAGTAAGTAACAGGAAAAATTAAGACTTTCCGATCAGATAAAGTACATAAATTCTTTATCAGGATTACTATCTGAGTCAAACATATGAGCGCTAAGATCTTAGAAACTATAAAAGCTTTTTAAGCAGCGCAAGTTTGTTTCAGCGGAGTACCTTTCCCACTCGAATGCTCACAAACGCCCATATAGTCTGCTTGTCGTCCACATTTTTGAAGATTTTCCAGCAGTGTAAGCTTAAATTGATTTAATTAATCATTACCCATCTAAATGCTGAGTGGTAACAACCTCATTGTTATTGAAAAAATTATGACTTACAAAGTTAAATAGGTGTTGTTATGGTCAGTAATTCCGCTACCGTCCGCTAGGTCCTGTGGCGCTACCATCGTTTTTTAGTGCCGCACCAATAGAAATGCCCTGAAATTTGATTTAATTTGAAATTTGAGCCAGAGTAACTGATAGTCGAAGCCGCCGACTAAAGCGTTTACTTCTGTTTTTTTGTCGAAAAATATAAAGCAGAAGCAAGGATTTTCCGACGCTATCCATGTCCGTCCACCCGTCTCTCTGTATGAACGCTAAGATCTCGGAAATTATGTAATTCGGATTAAGCATACAAATTCTCGGGGCAGCGGAAATTTGTTTCAGCTGAGTCCAACGCCCACTGAAACGCCCTCAATCGCCCATAACTCTAAGGCCTGTCTGGCGTCCACATTCTTTATGATTTCTTTTCAATGCTAAAAAGCGTACAAATCGCATTTTTATTATAAAAGTTTGTTATTCTGATTTGCCACGACCACTTTAGCACCCTTAACGCTTTAATTTGTCAATACTTATTAACGAAAAGTTCAAGTTAATTCAAATTTGTACTGCTAGGGGTAGCCAGTTCGAAATACCGGAAACAGCCACTTTGGCGCTTACATTTTATAGTTAGCGACTAACAAGAAAGAAAGCTAACTTTGGCAAGCCAAAGTTTCTGTACCTTTGCAGGTCGTTTAAGTGAAAGCGTTGTATGTTCAGAGTATTCCCATTTTAACAAAGCTAAATATTAATTACAGAAACATAAAGATAGTTTTCCATTTTAATTTACAACCGTATATGCTAACCGAAAACGAACGGCCTTTGTGTTATTTTGATATTAAATATCCGTTCGTTCCTGTGGCAGCTATATGATAAAGTCGTCTTATTTCTTTTAATATTTAAAAAAAAATGTTTATGTACATTAATATTCCAAAAGTTATAATTTTTTTTAACACTCCTATGGGAGCTATGGGATATAGTGGTTTGATCCGGCTCGTTCTGACTTATATGAGACTTTTGAAAAGGTTTCATCCCGATAGCTTTAAAACTGAGAGAATAGATTTCGTATAAACGGACCGACGGACGCTCGGACAGACGGACATGGCAAAAATATAAATACTTTTTGGGATCGGAGACGTCTCCTTCCCTGCGTTGCAAGCTTCTGACTGAAATTTTTATACCCTCTGCAAGGGATATAAAACAGTCTACGAAGAAGCGTAAGCTTGCATCAGCCGAATATGTAATTGAAAAACATGGAAGAACGCTATAGTCGAGTACCTCGACTATCAGATACCCGTTACTCAGCTAATGGGACCAAACGGAAATGGAGATATGCAAGCAGCAAAGCGAGATTGAAATGCGCCACCTACCGGCGGTAGACAGATTTAAGCGTTATGGGCGTTGCGCTGCGCAGGAATCTCAGGAATCTGCATGCCTAATCCCAGTATTGTAGCTTGTATAGTTTCCGAGATCTCAGCGTTCATACGGACAGACGGACAGACGGTCAGACGGACAGACGGACAGACGGAAATGGCTAGATCGACTCAGCTAGTGATCCTGATCAAGAATATATACACTTTATGGGGTCGGAAACGCTTCCTTCTGCCTGTTACGTACTTTTCGACGAATCTAGTATACCCTTTTACTCTACGAGTAACGGGTATAACAAGAGAAAATTCTCTAGTCGATGGTCTTGACTATTAGATACCCGTTACTCAGCTTAAGGGTGTTCGAAAGGCACTGAAATATGCTTAAAGCAGCTCTGCTGTTTTCACTAACACACCTAGCCTATAGCTTCACCCAGCGCCACTTCTTTCTTCTTCTATAGCGGCTTGGTGGCGTATTAGGGGAAACAGCAAAATTTTTGCATGTGGTGTGTAATCTCTATTGAAGTGCTAAATATAGGTTATAGTAATAATAACTATAATTTTTTATTGACTGGTCCAAATTCAATTATTTTCAGTATCATAAAAAAAGCAACATCTAATTCATATATTTATATAATAATAATCTAAAATGTGGGCGCTATGAGCTTTATGGCGAAAACGCTTCCTTCACCTGTTAGATACTTTCCAACGAGTCTAGAATACACTTTTCCCTCCAAGTAACGGGTATAAATAGATCATAACTAACAAGAAAGAACGCTATAGTCGAGTACCTCGGCTATCAGATACCTGTTACTCAGCTAAAGGGACCAAAGCAAAATAGAGATATGCAAGCAGCAAAGCGCGATTGAAATGCGCCACCTTCCCGCGATATCAATATATGGTTACGTGGGCGGTAGACAGATTTAAGCTTTATGGGCGTTAGAGTGGGTGTGGCAAACTTTTTTTGGGTCAATCGATAGGTCTCGAAGAAACTAAACATTTCAGTTAAAATTTTTTCTAGCATGAAAATTGTGGGCTCCACAGGCTTTGGTGGTTTGTGGGCGTTAGGGTAGGCGTGGCAAGATTTTTTTTGGATCCATCGATAGGTATTGACGAAACTAATATATTTCAGTTAATACTTTTAATCTAACATGAAAATTGTGGGCGCCACTGAAAAGCTTGCCCAGTGTACAAGGCTACGGAATCTAGGTCTGAAGTCCCAATTGTCAATTTTTGATAGTTTCTGAGATATCTGCGTTCATATTTACGATTTTTTGAAGTGTGTGGCTCGTGAACATTAAAGTGGGCGTTTCAAGTTTTTGGGTCAATCGATAGGTATTGATGAGAACAATACATTTCAGTTAAAATTTTTATTCTAGCATCTAAACTGTAGGACTGTGGGCGGTTTCTGGGCGTTAGAGTGGGCGTGGCACCTTGCTGAAACAAATTTGCGCTGGGGGGTCGGAAACGCTTCATTCTACCTGTTACATACTTTCCGACGAATCTAAGTCTAAGTCTGGAACGAGTCTACAACTGGCGGGTCAAAGTATCCAGTCTGATAGGTGCAATCATTTTAGTCTTCTTCGGTTCATAGGTCTGGAAAGTGTGAGAGCAAGTATATCTGTGAGAGAGACGAGTCTTGATATGTGGCGAGTGGCAGTATTGGTGATAGACGTACATTGTCCGAGGTAAATTGGTATGCAACACAGGGCCCAGAACACTTCCTTGAGGGAGCCAAGCAAGTATAGGCCTTGAAGCATTTGCATTTGCTCAGCGGCATTATGCAGACTCCTTAAACCCAACTGGTGATTCGGAGTTGCGTCCTGGAATAGATGAACACTAAGAAACCTTTTTAGTAAGATTCGGTTACTAGCTTAGGCTTATGAGCCGAATAACGAACGAACGAAATAGCTGCCACTATAAAAGCTTTAGCTCCTTTCCCTTCAATACTGTCATGCTCAAGGGCATGGTTCGGCTTTAATCGCTTAAATTGGTCTGAAAATTTTTCTGCACCAATAGGCAGAATTTGAGAAGCAGGACCAGAGGGAAAATCATCAAAAGCTTCTGCAGTCTCTTCATCTGTGACCAATTCAAAAGGCTTAAGTCTTTCTTGCATAGAGTTCTTTAGCATTTCATCATTTTTATTTGCCCAAGGCTGTTGCTCAAGCCCGAGAGGGTATTTCACAGCTTGATGCCTCGACTAGCATCCGGATCGATTGTACTAAGTTTACGGAGGAAAAAGGTCCAACTTAGCATAATAAAGGGCTTTTCTTAATAATAAATCACCCTTTTTAAAGATAGCTTAGTCTTGTGTAGGACGCGTTTGCATTTAGCGGCTCCGTAGGGTTCTCGTCTGCCTAACCAGAGTCATTATTCCAGGACTTAAATTGGAATTATTTTGCTGTGGAACAGCACAATTTAAATAGAAACAATCACGATGTCTCCAAAGTCCGTGCTTAAGGTAATTGCAGCAGCTTGACATTTTACAGTGAGTTTTTACTGTAGGGGCAGTAAAGCAAGTAAGACCGTACCATATCCAAAAATTCTGATATATGAGCGTTCTCTAACTCGAGTCTTATGCAAGTGAGACCATTGGTGTCCCAAAATGAGAAACGAATGCCAAAATTAAATGATGGACGTTGATGCAATACGAGCAGTACAAACAAGTGGCCCAACGACACCAAGCACGTGCTTGTTACGCGCTGGCCCTTTTATCAATTTGGGCAAAAAATACGAGTTCGCGAGGAAGATACAAAAAACAAATAGAGACGGGACACAAATGAAAATAAAAGAAGCATCTAAGAATGAAGCAAATGAGTTAAAATATTAGTTTTTAATACCGGGATAGAAGTTGAAGTGCAAATTAAATGATAAAGGTTGTTATAATTATTACATAGAACGCGAAAGGGCTCGTGCAGACAAAAATTAGATGTACATCGTGGCAAATTTAGGGGATATAATTTCGTGTTAGTCTAACAGGAACATTGAAAGTTAGGCGGTTTACAAGTTCTACAGAATCAATATCACCTCTTATAAGATTTTGCATAAAAATAGTACCAAGCATTGTTCTACGATTTGCAAGGGTAAACGATTTGCAAGGGTAGACATGTCTTCTGATCTTATATGCATCAGAATGTGAACTGCCGGTAAGCGTTGCATTAATTTAGAAAAGCTTGAATCAGAAGATGGGTTGCCAATCAGTCTGAGCAGGTACCAATTTGATTGATGGTTGTTTTTTGGTGTTTCCAGCAATTAATGTCCTTAAAATGATCCTGAGACCTAGCGGGGCAAACTGGGTTTCGATATATGATCAAAACCACATTTTTGTGTGTCCAATATCCTGAAAATTATAAAACCTTACAACTTCAACTCGGCGTTCAGGAGGGACTATAGTAATTGACTGATATAATAATAATATAATGTCATAGACTTTAACATTATTTGGCGACGACTTAAGCCTAACAAATAAAGTATTGAGTCCGTAACCATTGCCTTACCAAGGGGTAAACATTGCGCACAACATGACCAGTGGCGCCTAAGTCAGCCTTTGGCTACTATTCTGAAAGAGTTAAACAGGATATGGTTACTCCACAAGAGATGAAGAACTATCTTTTGTGTATCACCATCAGAAGGAAATACCCTAAATGTTGAAGATCCAGTTATTTTACCCTTTACTATTATTTTTACCCGTTACGTAGAGTTAAAGGTTATTTCAGATTCGACAAAAAGTATATATCAGGTAGAAGGAAGCGTTTCCGACCCCATGAACTATATTATTCTTGATCAGATTCACTAGCCGAGTCGATCTATCCATGTGCGTCTGTCCGGGTGAACGCTGAGAACTCGAATACTATAAGAGCAAGAGTGCTGTAACATGGCGTGCAGATACTTGGGCTTCCTTCGCAGTGTGGCACATTGCTGAAACAAGCTTGCGCTGCGCAGAAATCTCAGGAATCTGCGTGCCTAACCCCAGTATTGAAGCTTTTACAGTTTACGAGATCT